TTAGTTATCTATTTAAATAGTTTGCCTATTTTTGAGTTCTATATTTGCTACTATACCTGCAATCTAACTAGGAGATTACCTATTTAAACTCTCTGGTTTTTACAAATAAGGGTATGACTAGCTATATATACAACTTTTGGTTGCCTATTTAAGTAGTTCATCTTAGGTTCTATACTAGCTACCATACCTGCAATCCAACTAGAGAGTTACTTATTTTAAACCTTTTGATCATAACTTAATTCTATCTAGTAAAGTCTTCTAACTTGGTTGCCCGAATTTCATATATACCTTAGGACTTATTAACTTGGTCTATTCTCGAGATAAACCCACTAGAGCTTTCTATATCCCATTTAGGCTAATTGGAGGCTAAAGTTTTAAAGTCTTTAATGATAAATTATTTCAAAAGGATATATTAGAAGAAACATGGTGCAGAAGTTGAAACCAGAGAATTTAAATACTGTAGATAGCTTCCTGGTTAGACTATAGATATGATAGCTACATCAAGAAATTTTTTTTAGTGCAGTTCTGCACAGCTTTGCAAAAAAATTAAATAATAAATCAAATAAAAATCTGTACAAAACTTCAAAATAATAACTATATATACAAAAATAAAATACAATTCTTTAAAAAACTTCAAATTCTAAAAAATTTTACAGATTTTTTGCAAAAAATCTGCAAAAATTTGCAAAAATACAGATTTTTGCAGATTTACACTTATTTAATTTCCTTGATATAATATAGAACCTTAGGGTAGACTACTTAAATTAGATAACCAAAAGTTGTACATATAACTAGTTGTACTCTCATGATACTACTATAATATGTTATATATGGTCTTCAAATCTGCAATATCTGCTTGTACTAATAAAATGCCAAGGGTCTAAGTAATTACCTTAATATTAAAAAAAAAAATAATAATTTAATATATAGTAATTGTAAAGTTATTGTATCTCCAAGCTAGCTTAACTATAATATTGAGTTTTAATTTTATAAATAATAGTTTAGACAAAAATACTTATATTATAGTAATAGATCTAGGTTTTGTTATTTATAACTTTAGTTATACTAATACATATTATATACTAGAAAGTTTTAAAGTATTTGTAATTAAACAGAAATATACTAACTAGTAAAAACAGTACAAACCTATAATAAGACTTTTGAGATTATATAAAACTAATAGAGAGAACTTGAAGATTTGAAACTAGCTTGACAAAACCCAAGTAGAAAGTATATATAAGTAAGTATATATTATTCTAATAGATTTAATACAAGAATAAATACTCTGTTTCAAGAAAAAATAAATATCAGTTTGGCTAAAGTTTTAAGTTTTAAAATAAAAGGATTGGTTATGAGTATTATATAATATAAAGTTAAAGAGTTTAAATAAATAATATTCTATACTAAATTACAAATATAGTATCTAGTATAGAATATTTAGTTTAGATATAGTATAAACTACTTAAATAAATAACTAAAAGTTGTATATATATATAGAGGTCCAATCTGGATAAATCCGTCATCCATTTATCCATATCTGAATTTATCCGGATATCCATTTACTATTGGTATCCGGATAATCTGACAAATATTCGGATAATTATCCAGATATCAATAGTAAAACGGATATCTGAATAAATTCAGATCTGGATATCCAATAGATAAATGGATAAACGGATAATGGATAGGAACTCTATATATATATAGCTAGTTATATTCTTATAATATTCAAGTATTAATAAGATATTCTAAGTTTAAGTATTTATTTTAATATTTTTAAAATATATATATATATACCTATATAATTTTGGAATATTAGATAAAAAAATAGCTTTTATTTTTAAATAAGTTATATTATAATACAAAAAACTTTTTTTAAGAAATATTAAAAAAATTATTTTATTTTATCAAACTTGATAATAATTAAATAAAATTTTCTTCTAAAAATTAAAGTTGTATATATTTAAAATATATAATAATAAGTTTTGCTAATTTATACAAATTATATATAAATATTAGTAAAATAATCAAATTGCAAAATTTTTTTTACTATTAGTAAATTTACTATCTCAAAAGGCTTTTATATAAACAGATTTTTACTATAATAGATAGTTTACTATAACAAGAATTTATAATAATAAGATTGACTTGTAGTTATTAATTATGATTATATTATATAATTATTGCTATTATTAGCATTAGTTGTTTAGTTAATTAATATAAACAATTAGTTAGTTATTAACTAATTAATAACTAACAATTAATCATAATTGAACTAGTTGATAATTAATCAATTAGAAGGGTATAGCAGCTTAATAAAGTAGTCTAGTTATCATTCTACCAAGTAGCAAATTCAAAGTTCAAATTCTATAAGCAATATTTTGAAAAATAAGTCTGTATTATTGTAATGATTATTTATTAATTAGTTGGATCTAGAATTTGTAATCTTGGTTGTATTATCTAGTATGAAAGCCTTGATATATAAATGCCAAAAAACTAAGATAATCAAAACCTATTTGAGAAGACCCAAGTAAGAAATAACTACAATCTTTGATAATACTATAAAAAAGACTTAAATTTAAAAGTTAGAACCAAGATTAGAGAACTAAATAACAAAAAGATTCTTTAATAAAAGGATTTATCAACCCAATTACCAATTTAGAAAAGTTAAAAACCTGTGAAGCTATTATAAAATATACTAACTCTGGCTAGCTAATATAAGAAACTAGTAGTAAAAGGCTCTACTTATCAGACTAGAAGCTATAAAAGTTGAATAAAAAACTAGTTAAATAGAAAAATGCTAGATGTGTCTAAAGGACTAACTTATCAAATTAGAAAAAAAAAGATATATACTAAAAAATTATATATTAAGACAAGACAAAGGTATTAGATACTTAAAGCCAAGCCAAGATTAAATCTTTCAGATTATTGATTAAAAGTAAAAGATAAACTAATAAGAAAATAACAGAAAAAAAAAAGTTTAAATATAAATATATATTGGAATTGAAAAACAAATCTTATAAGAGCAAAAATGGTTAAATAAAAAAACCCAACTATGATTGACAACTATGCAAAACCAAGTTGGTTCAAATAAGATAAGGAAGGCTCTAGTAGATTTAATTTAAAGATAGCTATGTATCTACTTAACAAAAAAATGCAAACTGGTAATTAGTCAATGCAAATTTAGAATAAGTTAAAGAAGTTCTAAAGCAAGATATATAATCTAGCAAAATAGACCAGATAGTAATTTCTAGATTAGTATAATATGCTTAAAATAGAAGATTTAAATAGATAACTTCCTAGTTAGATTATAAATACAATATCTAGTATAGAACCTGTAGATAGATTATTTAAATAGGCACTTGAAAGATATATATGTAGCTAGTTGTATCTTTATTATAACTATAATTACAAATAATTACTAATAAAGAGTTCTTATAGCCAAAGAGATTATTTAATATCAAAAAAAAAATAATAATTAATTAATTAGTTAATTAAATATTTTTTAAATTAGTTAATTAAAAAGTTATTAACTATTTAATTTTTCAACTAATAATTTGAAACATTAGTTTAGAGTTTATTATTTACTATAAAATAAATACAAATATCTATTTGGCTTTATATATTCAAAGTTTTTTTAATAAAAATACTATACTTTTTTAAAAATAGTATCCCTTAAACTATAGACAATTTCAGACAAATTTGCCTGGAAAATTGCTATAAATTTGTTATGATTTACTTTTTTTAAAATTTAAAATATTTAAATAAAATTTTTTTTAATAATATTTAAAAATAAGAATTATATTATAGTAGTATTTAATTTTATATTATAAGAAAAAAGTTTGGGTTGCTTATAAGCTAAAAACAATAAATTTTAAAAAAAAACTTTAACTAAAAAAATTATTTATAAATTCTTAACAAACTCTTTAAATATTGGGTTTAAATTTATAGTTCTTAATACTATATTGTAGTTTATATAAAGAATAACAACTTTTATTATTATATTTTTTAATAATTTACTAATAAAAATTAAGACTTGTATTAAAGCAAAATTTTTTTTAAAAGCAATAATATATAAAAATTTAAAAAATTCAAAGAAAAATTTTATAGTAAAAATTTTTAAAGCAAAAGCTTTAAATTTTTATTATCTTAAAAATTTCTAGTAAAATTAAAAGAAAATTTATAATAAAGCTTATAAAATACAGTCAAGAATATTTTTATATTTAGCATTTCTAAATTTTGCAATGATCTGTATTGTACAATAGTACAGAAATTTTCTAGAATTTGATGAGTAAAGCTAAACCTGATTGGCTAACCATTTTTGTATAAATATAAGAAGTGAAAGTGGAAAAAGCAACTAAACTATTACTATACTACTGTACTAGATTGTGACAATTGCATTAAAGTTTTTTTGATTTACTGTAATAAGAAATAATTAGTTGTTATATTATATGAACTGCATATAGGATATCTTACTAGTTTGATTTTTGATTTTTAAACTTTAAAATAGCATCTAGTTGCAAAGGCTTGCCAGTATCAGATATGTATGCAAATTTCATAATTAAAGACTTTTTTTTATAAGGTGTTGTATGATTAATTATCATTACTAATTAAGTCCTTTATGTAAAACAAGAAATAAGAAAAGCCATTAGATAAGTATTGAAGAATACATTTCCTGCTTTTTCTTGTATTTTTAATAACAATACAATTTATAATTGAACTTCTTTGAATAGCAACAGATATCTCTTCTTCTTTCAAACAAACATCTTGATCACTCTACCAAGATTTCTATTTTGGCTCAAGCTTACTATATATGCTAAAAGTTGATCTCAAATAAAATTTAAATATTATAACTTTGTAAATGGCAAAAACTAAGTATTGATTAATTTTTAATTTACTAAAGGTATAATCATAGTTTATTGAATTAATAATAATTACATATTTATTTTAATTTTTAGTTTTATTTTATTTTTAAGTTCATTTTGATTATTATATAGATCTCAAATATTTTGTATAATTTCTAGCAATTGATTATTAGTTTTTTGTAATAACCCACAATACTTTGGATAATCTGAAGTATTGATTGAATTTAACAATGAATCAATAATTGCTAAAAGCTCTTTTTTGGTCATATTTTTTTTACTCATAGCTGCTGCTGCTTCCTAAGCAGTAATAGGTATTGGTAGAGGTAAGGTTTTTAGATCTTTATCTCTAAAAGTTTTATTTATAAGTATTATTCATTTTTCATATGCTAAATTTGTGAAATTTTTTAGCTATTTGCTAAGTGGATGTTCCCCTTCAAAACTTTTAAAATCATGATTATCATCTTGAGGATTCAAGAACCTAGTTTTATACAAATAAACTTGAAATCGGTATGACTCTAATGTATAATCTGGATGTGTTCGACCTCCTGATAACTTATTATCTATATGCCCAATCATATTAAATAATATATGATAAAGCTAGTTATTATTAAAAATATGTATTGTAAGTACAAACATAGCTTTTTTTTTTTATAAATACAAATATAATCTTATTAATCTTTATAAACTTTATACAATTACATGCTGCTATTCTCCAATGTTTTTGTGAAGATACAGGTGAAATTAATACCTTTAAAAATTTATTGACTTCCTTAAGAATAGCATCAAGATCTTGATATTGATTACTATAGCCTAATTGTGAGATAACTAAATATAATTCTATATATTGTTTAATTTTAGGGTTTAATCGTATCAACTGCTCTTTATAGGCTATCTCAATTAAACAATACATAGGGTGCCTATAATCTAACTATATTGAGCAAATATATGTCGAGCAGCACTTACTAATGATGATCTATTGTTTCTAACTCCCATATGAAAATTAATAATAGCCTGAAAATAGGTAAATATCTATAATAATTATTAGTAAAAAGTTTTAGAAATTATTCGATATATTTTAAAAGTCTTACTTGTTTAAATTTTAATTTGTATATATAATCATTTTGTTTTTTTGTCTAATCCAAATAGCTATCAATTGATAGACTTTTTGTCACAGCTATGTATGGCTATAATAATTCATACATGATGGTATATCAGTAAATATTACAAATAGAGTCCCATGATTTGTGATAATCAAAACACTTCTTAAAAAATCCAAGTTGATTTTCAGTTCTGTATCCTTAAAGAGAAGCAAATTGTTTAATATCAATTATCCTTAAAAAATAAGTTAACATAGATAAGATAATAGTAATTCAGATTCAATAATATAATAATAATAACAATAAAATAAATACCAATTTAATTCTACAAATACATTAAGCATATTTATTTCCTCATGCAAAGCGCCAAGAATTAATATATGCTACAGAAAATCTTTTTTAATTTTTTAAGCTAGAGTATAAAGAACACCATTGCAAGTAACTAGTAACTATTTTTGCTTCCCTTTATCTATTTTTGTAATATTTTCTATGTATTCTAAAACTTTCTTAATATTATTTACTAAATTAGGATTAAACTCTAATGAGTCAGGTACGTACATTTCAGGAACAATAATGTTATATTTAGGTTTTAATCATTGTATAATACTAATATGATCAAAATTAGAACTTTTTTGTTTATGAATATATATATGAGGCTTTATTACAAGAGATTTTGATTGGGATGTTATATTAATTTTAGTAAATTCATTAAAGGATTCTTCTTGTAAAGTAGCCAACATGTCTAGTTTTTCATTGTAGTTAAAACAATTATGTTTTCTATTATCAATATTAGTCATATTGCATTTTTTATACTATTTAGACTGACTCTTAATGTTTTTTTGATTTTTTATAATTAGGTCAATAGTATTGATATTTTCATTTTTTTTAGCAATAAGTTTCTTTAAAATCAATGATAAGTATATTTTTAATTCTAATTTATGTTCTTTTTGCATTTTAGGCATAATATAATATAGTTTTTCATACTGTTTATCAGTTAGCAAATCACAAAGCCAAGAAGCAATCATAAATTGAGAATAATCATTTCTGATTATGTTTAGCATAACAAAACTTGTAACTGTATAATATATCCCTTAAATTGTTTTGCAGCCAAATTTGTTAGTAACTTTTTTTAAATTTTAAATTTTTTTAATAAAATTTTAAATATTGATTTTAGCTATCTATTTTCTAAATAAAATATTTAATTTTAGATTTGTTTTATTAACTTAAGAAAATTTTTTAAAAATTATTAGAAAATTTTAATATAATAAAAGTTTAAAGTTTTTGTATTAAAATTTTTACTATAAAATTTTTTCTTTAAATTTTCTTAAATTTTATAT